AGTATTTTATGTCCAAAGAGTTTTATTCTACTGCCTAAACCTGGAATAAATAGCATTAATTGAGGAAGACATTTTCACTTATCTGCCTAACCAAAACTCCTACAAAGTTTCCCAAAGGGTTTTCTGGGAAAGGGAATTTGCCACCATCACTTCTATTTTCAATGAACAAAAATTAGGATGTATGCATAATATTAATCTTCTGCTATACTATCCTTATGGTCATTTTTAAAGTATTCATATGTATTGTGAGTTATGTACTTTTTCAGAGATGGTTAGGAAAAAAGTAGCAGAAAACTATGGGTTTTAGAAATTCCAATTCAATTATGGCATTCTGAATATACTCAGAATACTAGGATAACTGACCAAAAAAAAAAAAAACCCAAATATTACTATAATCTGGTTTGTGTATTGGAAGTTCTAGAATATTTTGAATGCTGACACTTTATTCTTTGGGCATTTTCATATCTCACAATCAAAATTATTGTGTCAATTAAATATAATTGAGATATAGAATAACTGCCCTATCTATTTCAGAGTGTGGTTGGATAATAATACCAATAATAGTATAGTTAGCATTCAATGAGTGCTTACTATGTACAATGCTTAAATTGTAAATTCATTTAATATTTAAAATAAACCACTTCGAGATAGGTTGTAGTACTATTCCCAGCTTATGAGGTAGGCATTTGCAATAACAGTTAAGATGTTGCTTGGGCACAGACATCCCATAGTGGAGTGCCAGGGTTTTGAGTCCTGGCTGTGCTTGCAATTACAGCTTCTTGCACCCAGAGTGGCAGCAGGTGATAGTCAAAGTACTTGGGCCCCTGCCTTTCACATGGGAGACCTGAATTGAATTCCCATCTCCAGGCTTCAGCCTAGCCCAACCCTGGTTGTTATAGGCATTTGAGGAGGGAGCCAGAGGTTAACTGGTCTCTCTCTCTCACTTTCAAATAATAAAATAAACTAAATACATAATAACTAAAAATAAATAGAATGAGGTTTCAAGAGTTTACCTACCTTGAGCAAAATAACCAATGGAGATAAGAGCTAGCAGATGGGCTCCTAAGTCCAGGCTGTTAACTACTATGCCCTCAAATATGATAGTATATATAAAAAGTTAAAATTCTCATCAAATAAAGAAACCAGAAAACAGCTAAAATTTAAACCCCATTTTGCAAATGTCCCTGAAAGAGTTAAAAAGAACTCTGTGACCCAATATTGCTTCATTGCAGCTTGGTAACTACTCAATATGTGTTCCAAGGGCTTTCTGAAAAGTTAAAGCATTGCACAAATGTTAGTGTTACTAATTTTATTGGCTTGAAATGCCATTCCTTTTTAATAGTCCCTGAATAGATGATATTGATACTCCAAATTCAGAACTGAGTTTAGATTGTCCAAATAGCATTCAGCACGAAGTTTTTTGGAACGCCTTACACTATTTCTCCTACCCCTTCCAAAATGAAAAAATATTAGATTCTATGATGTCAATCAGAAAGATGATGCTAGAGAGGAAAAAACGGTTTCATAATTACTTTTACTAAAAGCAATCTGTCAAATCACCTACCACTTTAGATTGAAGTCATTGTGAATTTAACTCTTTCTGCATCAAATACATCTGCTGAGGAAAGTCTCCCCAGGGATGGTATGTAAAGGAATGGCACAAGCCACAAGCCCCTGAAGACCATTCAGAGGTGAGTTCCAACAGTAGGTGTGTTCCATGTTAGAATCAAGATGGTGTACATCATTTCTTTTTAACTGGCTATATTATAGGAACAATAAATTCATCAAAGCAAAAAAAAAAAAAAAAGAATCAAGATGGTCCACTGCGGAGTTGGCCTCAGTGAACTAGGTCCACTGAAGTTGGCAATATTATTTCAAAAGTGTTGTCATTTGGCATGTTTTCTTAAAATGAATTCATAGTACTTAGCACAGACACCATGTATATTTCTGCCCAAGAAGCACCATTCTGGGTTAATAATTCAAACTGGGGTCCCCCTCTTGTACAGAACTTGTACACAACATTCAACAATACGCTATACTCGGACTCAGAGCAGCAAACTGACCTGGTGAACTCCCATCCCACCCCCACTCCCCGACATTTAATATCCCGCGCTACAGGACAGCTAATGGTGCTTGTGTTAGAAACAGCCAGGACAAAGGTCAGCTGGTGAGGAATGTCCCTAGGATCCTACTTAGCCAGCTCTGTGTGGCTGATGCAGAAGGGCGTGATGATGAGAAAGTAAGACCACAACTGCTGGAGCCCTGTTATCTGAGCCAATGTAAACACCGAACCACAAATACTTCCCCTTCCTCCTCCAGGATCCAAATGTCAATTGCTTCCAGCTTCAAAGTTCTGAATCTCCACCACACCTCCCTTTGATTCAGGCTTGCTTGGAAAGAGAACAACATGCCTGACTCCATCTGTGTGGTAACACTGAGTCTCTAGCTGACTAATCAGGAGATGCTAGGCGTGCCCCAAACCTGGATCCCTGGAAGATCATTCACCCTAGAGAAAATGCTGGCCATCTACCAAACGACCACATAAACAACAGGTCAACCTCTGAAAAGGCCATCCTCTAGGTGGGTGGGATCCAGGACATATCAGTAGGCTCCAGGGAGACAAAGAATGCCACAGCACACAACAGAATGGTCACTCTTTCCCGGCCTTCACCTGGAAACTGAGACAGACTGGCAAAACAGATTACAGTGTTTCCTTGACCCTCGTTCTAATCCCCACATTCTTCTGGCCAACAATATCAGACCATATTGCATTTGCCATCTCTTTTCTTTAGCAAATTTAGCCCTTTTATTGAGCGTAGAAGCAGCTGACTTCATGATCCACCATAACTAGTCTGCCAAATGCTCAGCCTCCTCTGATGCCTTTTTCGCATTGGTATGGGTACACTAAAAATTTACTTCGGCCATCGGCTTTTGGCATTTTAAGGACTTTATAGTCAGTGCCATCACGCTTAACTCCAGCACCTGAGTGTGTTGCTGTCTAAGCTATCCCTTTTCCTATCCTACTTTGGTAAATGGTCCAGCAGGTGAAGGACACCCACAAACCTTTTCAGGCAGGCGTTAGGTTTGAACGGTTCCCCTTGGTCTTTTAGCAGCTTGCTACGAGGAGGTGATGCAGGGGGTGGAAGAGAGTGAGAGGTGGAGAGGGGAGTAGAGTCTTCGAATTAAGAGTTTTGTGCTCACTCTAGATTCTTTTTGATGGCACCTTCCAAGTGGAGATGAAAGTGTTCACCTTGGCCTTTTCACCACCTCAGAACAGCCTTTCTCCAACCTAATCTTTCCTGATTCTCATTTCCATAACAGACTTTTTTTAAAAAACAAAAAATCTGGTTCTAGATTCAGGCCATATTTTCATAATACATAATTTCCCTTGGGTTCATAGGTTGGAATTTGACCTCTGGTTTCATAGGGCTCTGGTTCCTGGCAAGTAAGAGAACACTTCTTGTGAGAGCAACTTCATGAAAACTAAGGGTTGCCGTGGCCAGCCATTCCCAGCACCCCTGCTGATCTGCAGGCTGGCTCCTCACAGACTCTATTTCAGCCATTTTCAAAAGTGAGACACAGTTTGGCCATAGTCTACAATTCTTTTAAAGATTTACTGATTTACTTGAAAGGCAGAGACAGAGACAAAGAAAGAGAGATCTTCCATCTACTGGTTTACTGCTCAAGTGGCCATAATAACCAGGTCTGGGCCAGGCCAAAACCAGGAGCCAGGAACTTCATCTGGGTCTCCCACATGGGTGGCAAGATCATCTTCCACTGCCTTTTTAGGTGCATTAGCAAGAAGTTGGATCTGAAGTAGAGTAGCTGGGATGGGTTGTATTGCAATTTGGGATGCCAGTGTCACAAGTGGTAGCTAAACTCAATGTACCACAATGATGGCCCCCAGCCCAGGATTCTTGGGCCAAAACAATTAGCATAAGAGGAATGGATAAGGTTTTAGAGTCTGGTGGACTTGTGTCCAAATTCTTATGTCCCACTGGTGGGTTCTAGGCCTTTGAGAAAATACCATCTCTTGGGTCTTGATTTCTTCATCTGTTAGTGGGAGTAATAATAGCCCCCTTATGATCTATTCTGAAGAAAAAATGAGATAATGGCTGTAAGATGTTGGACCTAAGACTCATTCATTTTTCTGCTACATAAATTGCTCTCTCTTTGCCTAGAACATTCTTCAGTTTGCTCCTAACTCAAAAACTACCTTTGCACTGGCTAGCTCTTGCCTTTCATATTTCTAAGTATTTCTATTTTAATTCTGATTTTCTTAATTCTTGGCTGATGTCCTGTTTCTGCCCCAGGATCCCATGACACTCAGCCATCATGTTGCATTAGGTTTCCCTCAGCTGTGACACTTTCTCAGACTTTCCTTGCTTTTTTGTGACTGGCAGTTTTGAGGAGTACTAGTTATAACTGTTTTTCAGTTTGTGTGTGTCTAATGTGTTCGCCATGGCAGACTGGATTTGGGGAGAAATTCTCATCACACCTTCTCAAGGGTACCTGTTACCAATATGACTTCACTGTTGATGCTGACTTGATCATCTGGGTGAGGTAGTCTTTGCCAAGCTTCTCCATTGTAAAGTTATTCCCCAACCCTTTCCATGCTGCTTTTGGGAAAGAAGTCACCATGTGTAGCCCTTACTTAAGGAATGAGGAGTTACAATCCACTTTTTTGAATAGTGAGTGTCTGCATAAATAGGTTGAAAAATCTCATCTACTGAAGAATTATTTCTTCTCCCCTGTTAGTGATTTATCCAAGCATTTATTCATATCTGTATGGACAAATGAGTATCTTACATGTCAGATTATAATTTAATGCTGTATTACTTATTTTGTTGTGCAGTTTGTTCCACTCTGAGCCACAGAGAACTTTTTCAGGTTGGGTCCACTCTTCCTTTCATATCGGCTCCTGTCTTCCTGTCCCCAACTGTGTGTGTGTGTTGTGTACATGTTGGTTCTTCATGGCATACTGGATGCCCCAGGCTTACCTTGTATATTCCTTGCCTCAGTTCTGAAGTACTCCTTTCTCCTAAAAGCTCTGCCTTCTTGCGTTGGAGAAGCCGTTGGAAACCATCATCTGTATGCTGAGTGCTCATTGCTACTGGAGTGTTCTTTGAACTGAAAGAGCAAGAAAAATATGTATATACATTAGTACATGTATAAACACATACATGTACAGAAAACATGAGTTTATATTGATGTCTCCAACTATAATTCGGTAGTCCACAAGTCATTTTAGTTTTCCTTCCTGGCTTGCTTATCTCTACTTTTCCATGCCAACAGTGAGAACTTGGCTCATGCTATTTGCCTTCCATTTATACTAAATTATTCAGTTATGGTATATGTGTGTCTCAGATTTGTTACCTCATATTCCAGAGGGGCACAATTTCACCAACTGAATAGAAGACATGTCCAATTCCTACGGCTTCAGTATTACAATCTCTGTTTGCTTTCAAAGTTACTTAGATCAGCAACTCCCCGCCCTGCCACTTCATTCACACAGTTATACATAGTTTTAAAAGATTTTAAAACATTTATATTGTTTATTTGAGAGGCAGAGCAACAGAGACAGAGGAAGGGAGGAAGAGAGAGGGAAAAAGAGAGAGGGTTCCATCTGTTGGTTCACTCCCCAAATGGCCACAACAGCAAGATCTGGGCCAGGCCAAGGCCAGGAGCCAGGAATACCATCCTGCTGTCCCGCACAAGTGGCAATCTGCTGTCTTTCCAGATGCATTAATAGGAAGCTGGATCAGAAGTGGAGCAGCTCGGACTCAAAGCAGTGCTCCAATATGGGATGCAATGCCACAAACAGCAACTTAACCCAGTGTGACACAAGGCCAGTACCTCATCAGATATATTTTTAATACAGTTAAACCCTTTTATCTTTGCCTGCATTTCATTCCAAGATCCCCTTTTAAGTGATATCTAAAAAATATGTATACACTAAGGCTCACTGTTATACTATAAAGTTCTGAGGATTTTTAACAAATTCAGATGTCATGTATTTACCATACTTCACTTATTCAACCCTTCCCCAAGCCTCTGACAACTACTGATATTTTTACCATCTCTGTAGTTCTGTCTTTTCTAGTATTTTTATTAATGGGATCATAGAAGTATTCAGCCTTTCATACTGGCTTTCGTCAGTTAGTAGTGTGGGGTTCTGTAGTTGTTTTTAACAGATCATTATTGAGGGTTAAATAGGGCTAATGTTCTGCGCAGATTGACCATACACCCAGTTTGCCTGTGGCAGCTCCTGTTTACACCTGTTTTCCTTGTACCTACCCATCATAGTATTTCACCACAAACAAAAGTGCCTGAATTTGAATAAATTATATTGACACTCTAGTTTCAGGTAATGATGACATATCAGTGAATAAGACTCTTACATTTATATTTTATTGGTTAGAGACAGATAAATAGATAATTTTATATAGTATTATGAAAAGAAAAATGTTCACTGAACTAAATGGTCTGGAAGATGCTTTATTATTGTTAAAGATTTATTTACTTTATGAGGAAGGCAGAGTTACAGAGAGAGAGAGAAATCTTTCATCTGTTGGTTCACTCCTCAAATGGCCACAATGGCTGGAGATGGGCAGGTCTGAATCCAGGAAATGATTGCTACATCTGGGTCTCCCACATATGTGTAGGGGCCCAAACACTTGGACCATCTACTGCTGCTTTCCCAGACACATTATCAGGGAGCGGAACTGGAAGTGCAGCAGCCAGGACTTTAACCAGAGATGAAGGCAGTGGCTCTACTCTCTATGCCACAGGGTCACTCCCTGGAAGACAATTTAGATAGTGCAGTCAGAGGAAACATCTTTAAGGATGTTGTATTTGCATCAACTTTTGCAGAGAACCAGGGAAGAAACCTCTCAGGCAGAAGAAATGGGAAATACCAAGAATCTAAGGCAGAACAAAAGTGCTGTGTTTGAGGAATGGAATGGAATGAGCGGGAGATGTGATAAGATGAGGTTGATGAAAGAGGCCATGTGAAGGGGCTTTGTCCTTTTCTAAATGCACTGGGAACTCACTAAGGAGTCTCAAGCTAGAGAATAATTTAGAGTGGTTCATGTTCTAAAATGATCACTTTCCTTATGAAAGCAGAAAGATCAGTGATCTAAACAAGAGATGATGGTGGCATAGCCTTCTATGGTGGTCATGGAAATGGAGAGAACTGGATAGATCCAAGCTGTATTTCGAGGCACTCTGATAGACAGGATGTTAGGGATAAGAAACATGACAAAAGATTCCTAGTTTTTTTGGCTTAGCCACTGGCTAGTAAAATCATTTACTGAGGTGAGCAAAGAACTGGAGGGGGACAGTTTGGTAGATGACAATTCCTGGTTTATTTCAGACATGTTAAATTTGAGATGTCTGCCACACACCTGTGTAGTGACAGCAAGCAGGCAATGAGTTTGGAGTTTATCAGGCGTTTAAATCCCAGGATTAACTTTGATAACACTCATTATATAGTAGGTAAATCTATGAGACTGGATGAGATTTCATAAGGAGAGAGTATTGGTGGAAAATAAGACTTAGGAATAAGCCCTGGGAACTCTAATATTTATCAGTCAGATAGTAGAAGAGCAGCCAAAAGAAGAAAAAAATAGGAGGAAAACAAGGATTTGTTCCAAGCAAAACAAAGGGGGAGAATGTTTTAAGGAATACTGGGTAATCACTGACATCATAAATAAGATTGTTAATTTTTTTTAAGATTTATTTTATTTATTTGAAAGACAGAGTTACTGAGAGAGGTAGAGGCACAGAGAGAGGTCTTCCACCCGCTGGTTCATTCCCCAGATGGTTCAACAGATCGGAAGAGGAGCAGCCAGAACTAGAACCAGCATCCATATGGGATGCCAGCGCTTCAGGCCAGGGCTTTAACCCGCTGCGCCATAGCGCAGGCCCCAAGAGTGTTAATTGTTAAAGAAACAACAGAAGGGGTTGAACTGTGGCACAGTGGGTTAAAGCCCTGGCCTAAAACACAGGTATCCCATATGGGCACCAGTTCGAGTCCCAGCTGCTCCTCTTCCGATCCAGCTCTCTGCTATGGCCTGGGAAAGCAGTAGAAGATGGCCCAAGTCCTTGGGCCCCTGCACCCACGTGGGAGTCCTGGAAGAAGCTCCCGGCTCCTGGCTTTGGAACAGTACAGCTCCGGCCACTGCGTCCATCTGGGGAGTGAACCAGCAGATGGAAGACCTCTCTCTCTAACTCTGTCTTTCAAATAAATAAAATAAATCTTACAAAAAAAAAAAAGGAACAACAGAAGTCATTGTGCACTTACTCCCCATGTAGGACCTCTGTCCTTAATGAGTTGTACTATGAGAATTAACTGCAAAATTTAGTCTCAAACTGTACTCTATATGTTGTGTGTGTGTGTGTGTGTGTGGGTGGGTGGGTGCAAACTGTTGAAATCTGTACTTAACATGGAGTTGGTCCTCTGTATATAAAATTAAACTAAAAATGAACCATAATGAAGGAGGGGATGGGTGAGGGAGTAGGAGGTGGGATGGGAGTCAGGGTGGGAGGGTGGGTATGAGGGAAAGAACCGCTGTATTCCTAAAGTTGTATCTATGAAAAATGCATTCATTAAATAAAAGCTTTAAAAAAAAGATTATTGGCAGGGACTTGGTGCTTTGTGGAGCAGTTAAGATGCCACTTGGGATGCCCAAATCCCATTTCAGAGTAACTAGGTTCCAGTCCAGGCTCTGGTTCTGATTCCTCCTAATGCACACCCTGTGAGGCAGCTGGTGATGACTCAGGTAGTTGCCTGCCACCCCATTTGGGAGACCTAGATTGTGTTCCTAGCTCCTAGCTTTGGCCTGGCACAACTCTGGCTGTTGTAGACATTTGGGGAGTGAACCAGGGAATGGGAGATCCCTCTTTCTCTCTCTCTTTCTCTCTGTGCCTTTCAAATTATATAAATAAATAAATGATTTTTATAGTCTTATAAAAAATGAAATATAAGCAGTCAAAGTTCATGAATGTTGCCAAGAAGCCAAGTCCAGTGAAAAATCTACTGGATTCAGCAACATGGAGGCGGTGATTGCTCTTGATAAGCGTGGCTTTAGTGGTGCCATGGAGAGAAGACAGAGTGAAATGTGTTGAAAGTGAACTTGAAGAGGAAACGTGGATCATTCCCAGGTTGCTTAAGTAGATGAAAGCATGAACTCTATGACAGTATCAACCATTGAGATTTTGGTTTTTTTGCTGTTATCCATGGCCTTTAAATACTTGACATTTAACAACCTCCACGTCCTCATAAGTGTTTCTAGCACCTGGTAGCTAAGCCATTTATAACCAGGATGTAAGCTGAAAACTGCACTGGAACAAAGAAGAAAAAGAAGTATCTGTAAAGATTACTAGTTTTAGCTATGCCATTTTTATTTTTGATTTTTTGCAGTTGTAACCCAGGTAGAAGAAAATCAGAAGTCTCCTAAAATATCTCCATCTTCATTCTGATAATCAATGATCTAGAAAATCATGGGTGTTCCAATTTTATGCTACATTGGAGAACTTCCAATTTAAGAGGGAAGCTGGCCATTTCAAATAATAAATTGAAAGCAATAATCCTGATTTAAAATTCCAAATTATATTAGCCAAACCAAGAAGTGAAAGAGAAAGGGGAATTTATATGCTAAATTCCTCAGCTGAAGTGGGAGGAGACAGGAGATAATGTTTCACTCTTGACTTTAATTATTAGGAAACTATAGAAGGAAATGTGCTTTGGAGTTGACTTCCAGGCCTCCTAAAAGTTGTTGCCAAGGGCTTTCTGGGCTAGGAGAGACAAAAGAAAGCAGAGGGAACCTTAAAACCAGGCAAAGAATCAAGCCAATGCAGAGCCTCCAACATAAAGCACAGTTGTGGAACTGGGGGCAGAGACAGTCATTTAAAAAGCACTAAATGGAGAGTAAGTCCAAGGAAAGAGTGAAAGAGAAAAGCATCCACCCATTCAAGAGGAGCCTAAACATGTAAATTCCAAAGAAAACAAAGATAGGAAAGAAGCCAACAAAATCAGCAGACTGTGAATTCACTGTGAGTAGAAATAAAATAACAGACAGTTGGAAATAGACTTCAAATAAGTATGTTTAGGCCCTTCGAAGAGATAA